TCTGCAGGGGCGGCTGCTGCAGGTGCGGGCTGCTCCAGGGGCGGCTGCTGCAGGTGCGGGCTGCTCCAGGGGCGGCTGCTGCAGGTGTGGGCTGCTCCAGGAGCGGCTGCTGCAGGTGCGGGCTGCTCTAGGGGCGGCTGCTGCACTGGCGGGCGGCTCCAGGGGCGGCTGCTGCAGGTGCGGGCGGCTCCAGGGGCTGCTGCTGCAGTGGCGGGCGGCTCCAGGGGCGGCCGCAGGGGGGGAAAACGCACGGCCCCCAGGACGCCCCGAGGGGCGACGAGAAGGGAGCCGCGCGGCCCCCCCCGGGGCGCCGCGACGGGCCCCCAGAGCCACCTCGACGGGCGACGGGGAGGGCGCCGCGCGGGCCCCCCGAAGTCGCCTCGACGGGCGACGGGGAGGGCCGCGCACGGCCCCCGAAGTCGCCACGACGGGCGACGGGGAGGGCGCCGCGCACGGCCCCCGAAGTCGCCTCGACGGGCGACGGGAGGGGACCGCGCGCGGCCCCCGTGGTCGCCACGACGGGCGACTGGTGGGGAGGCCGCGCGGGCCCCCCAGGTCGCCTCGACGGGCGACGGGAGGGGAGGCCGCGCGGGTCCCCGAGGTCGCCTCGACGGGCGACGGGGGGGGAGGCCGCGCGGGTCCCCGAGAGCGCCTCGACGGGCGCTTCGACGGGAGGGGACCGCGGAGGCCCCCCCAAGGGCACCACGACGGGCGCCACGGAAGGGAAAACCGCCAGGCGCCCCGAGCGCGCGGCGGGCAGAAATTAGGGTTTCGCCGCCACGCACCACGGGGCGCGCGGCGGACAGTACGGCAGCGGAAGCGGGTGGTGGGCCCATACACAGGAAGGCGGCAGACATGCCGCCCTCTGATACCATGTCAGAAGTAGTAGTAGTACGGCCTAGGCTTAGTAGCCTAGGCCACAGTAGGACTAGTAACGAGGAGCCAAGTACGAGCTAGGATTGTGTGCAGGAACAGAATTGAGAAGGAATGATTGAACTAGCAAGCAGCAGGATACAAATAGCAAACCCTAAGGGGCTGTACTCACTATTGAGTACCCCACTGCAGGCTACAAACAACATATTCTGACAGTCCTCACAGGACACTCTGACGCTTCTTGGGCCGACGACCAGACGACTCAGCGTTCGTCACAGGGTTACACCTTCAGTCTTGGCTCTGGTTCTGTCTTGTGGAGGTCCACTCGTTCCTCTTCGGTGCTTAGCTCCAGCTGCGAGGCTGAGATCTACGCTGGGGCCATGGCTGCACAGGAGCTACGCTGGCTGACCTACCTGCTGACCGACTTGGGGGAGCGGCCTCGTTCTCTTCCAGTTCTGTATGTCGACAACAAGGCAATGCTTGCCTTGTGTCGCGAGCAGAGACTGGAGCACAGAACGAAGCACATTGCTCTTCGCTACTTCCTTGCGCGTGAGGTGCAGCAGCGTGGTCAGCTGTGCCTTGCTTACGTGGCCTCTCGGGCCAACACTGCTGATGTCTTCACCAAGGCCCTTGGGTCTGGTGATCATCAGCGTTTCTGCACTGCTCTTGGGCTTGTTCCCACTCTGCCTCACCTGTTGGTTGCTTGACTTGCTCTTGTTGTACACTGCTATATATCTTTATACCTGCTTGTTTTCTCTTGCTAGGTTGTAATCAGTGTACTGCCTTGCTATTATATACCTCTGCATGTGAACTGGCCTTGTGGCCACTTGCTTGTGCTCAGAATGCGTGGTGACTTTGTGATCCACCCTAAGCTGTGTTCTCTTCTGCAGACTGGTCTTGTGACCGCTTGTTGTGTTTGATGTCCCCTACTTTGCCTATGGGGGTGTGTCAGATTACAATTGTATCTCTAGGCTACAGTAGGGTCCCTCCTTAGTGAGTACAACACTTTAGGGTTAGGTTTCCCCTACTTGTACTCACCTCTTACCTAGTTCAATCATTCATTCCTAGTTCTATTCTTGACAACGTGTTGAAATGTTAATGTCTCGGCCTACCCGACCGCATGCACAAAGAAAAAAAACCGCACGAAGTGCCAGATTCGAGCGGGAAAAGAAACCGCTCTCCTCGGGCAGCCGAACACATGGTGCATTCCGCCCCATACTTGCACCGTGCCCTTGCGCAAGACTGCCCGCCAAACCAACTCCACCTCCAGACTCGCAACCCACCCCTCCCTCTCCATCTTGTTCAATTCCAACTCCTCCCACTTCCCTTTCTTGTTTCTCTTTCGTACGCCATTCTAGCTCTACTCTGCTCGCTAGCCATGGCTCGTAAGCGCAAGAACGTTGCGGACACCCAGGACACTTGCCCACGGGACCTCAATGAGATCTCGTATGTCGGCTCGATGGACAAGCAGATCGCTGCTGGTCGCAAGCCTCCTGGCCCAGCCCCCGAGGGAACTCCGTCGCCGGGCGGCACCTCCTTTCAAGCTCCGCGCGACGTGCCGTCCCGTGTTCGTCGTGGTGCGGACTGGGTGGAGTCATCACGCACCGTTGACGACGACACATTTGTCAACAAGGAGGAGGAATCCAAGTACAACGAGTACGGAGTTGGCACGGATGATGACGATGAATCGGGTGAGGAGGATGACAAAGGCATGACCGAGGATGACGATGATGCGGAGGATGACGATGACGAGGCAACGGAGGAAGCTCGGCCGGAAACACTGGCGGGTCGTCGCGGCCGTGCCAATCCTACAAGCGGAGTGAAGACCGCAGCCAAAGGTGGTGAACCCCCTCGCCGTGCTCTGAGAAAGGAATTAGCGGGAAAGGAATTGATAGTCTACTGTAGGTGTTATTAAGTGAATTTGGTCATTCATCAAGAGCTGAGTGCATTGTACTGAACGACATGATTCGATTGACAACAAGGGCTGACGTAAAAAAAAAAAAAAAAAAAAAAAAAAAAAAATCCCACTCGTTTTTGTAGGGGGGGGAATTAATCGTCTACTCATGTTTTTTTTTTTTTTTTTTTTCAGGAACCACACAACTACAACTTTGAAGATTACAGAGTTCTGAATGTAAAATCAAACTAAAATTAGACTAAGGGATTAGCATCGCATTCACAACACCGCGCGGCATAAACAACTTTGCCATGACCGTGATACATAGCGTCAACTTGGCGGCATTACAGCGGAAAACGGGTGGCAAAACTGCCATGTGCAGATTTTGCATATGACAGCAGGGTGTGTGTAATCATTCTACGGCAACACATGACGTTGAAGAAATTTTGTCGTATGTAAAGATTCGCTTTTCAGAGTCCGTACTCTCTGTAATCTCGAGACTCATTACCCGCTAAGTCTTTAGTATGATCTTTTCAGTATAAAAAAATACTTAAGTCTTAAGTACCCATGATAGAAGATCAGACAACTTTGGAAAATCATGATTACAAGGAAAGGTCTGAAATAACAATCAATTAGACCAAAGTAGTCGGATAAAATCAGGCATGCTGACAATGCTAAGATATCATTTGCGAATGAATGCTCAGCTTTGCAACATGTCCTGAACTAAAATTTCAGCGTACGTACGCACAAGCTAGGGTATTCCAATCCCCTACGGATCGTCTGACAGTCTGGGCAATTCTGGCGGCAATGTTTTTAACACGTGCCGCAAATGCGATGTTCCCGTTTGACACTGTTTTCTAAATTGTACCCTCAGTCTTTTGAAATCCATTACAACCTAAGCAACATTGTCACTAATATCTCCAGAATGAGGTATAATTGGTGTTAAAGGCGGGCTGCAGCAATCTTAGGAACAGTAGCGGCAAAAAATTGGCGGGTAAGTACCAGGACTCCTATTTGATGAAAAAGAAAGAGCCCCACAGCAGGAAAAGCCTTTCGCCTGTGAACTTCATGGGTCGACCTACTTCCAAGTTATAAACCTTTGAAGCGGACCCGATAGTTGCATCGCGGACTTAAACCACAGTCGTCCACCAACCACAAACATTCATCCTTTCATGCTGTCGAAATAATGTATGCATGTATTCATAAACTGCTGTAGCATAGACTGTAGTGTGGCCATCTGTTGGTGGTGCACCCCTTGCCTAAGCCTGTATAACCTGGGCTCTTGTTCCCCTTCTAGTCCACCTTTTCTCTCCTCTCATCTTGACACATGGTACTTCTCGATTGCCCTCTGTTCCGCAACATCCATGCTAGCTATTTCAAAAATCCGAAGCCGGGTCAGATCTTGGAAATGCGAAGGCACCGCAGAGAGGTGAAAGATAGAAACGAAACAATCTGGAGAAAAGCCATGACGACTAGCATATGACTAGACATTGACACTGCTCCAGCTGTCTGCTATGTGAAGTGCAATGGTGATGGTGTGGCACTAGGTGATGCAACATGCAGGTAACTGGGAGGGTACAACGTGTAATAAGGATGAAAAATTGTTAAAAATGAATGCCGTCAGGAGCAAGTACATCATATGCAGTTCTGCTACACAGCCACCATTTCGGCACTTGCATCATCAACCACAACATATTTCATGCTCCACCATAGAACGAACAACATGCGTCTTTTCCCTAATCGCAATCTCTTTAGACCGCCTGCTTATCTCAACCGACTGTCTCTGACAATCGACCGTATCTGTCAACCGCCCGTCTGTAGCCATCCCAGTCAATCGCTCAACGAACTCTGTCAAAGTACAATCTTACTTGTAGGCTATAGTGGGGCACTCCTGATAGGGTACAGCACTTCTAGGGTTATTACTTGTACCCCAACTCTTGCTAATCCAATCATTCCTGCACAGTTGATTCTGACATGGTATTCAGAGCAGGAAACCTGTTAGGTTTTTAGGGCCCACCGATCGTTCCGCTAGTTCCTGCCCGAAGCGCCCTTGCGCTGTCCGGCCCTCTCGCACAGTGTCACGCTGCCCTGCAGCTACTCGCACTGCCTGCCCTAGCGCGCTGCCCTGCTGTCACGCGCGCCCCTGCTGCCCGCGAGCAGCCCCTGTTCCGCGCGCCCCTGCTTCCCACGTGCAGCCTCTGCCCCGCGCGCCACTGCTGCCGGCGAGCAGCCCCTACCTCGAGCGCCACTGCTGCCCGCGAGCAGCCCCTGCCTCGAGCGCCACTGCTGCCCGCGAGCAGCCCCTGCCTCGAGCGCCACTGCTGCCCGCGAGCAGCCCCTGCCTCGAGCGCCACTGCTGCCCGCGAGCAGACCCTGCCTCGAGCGCCACTGCTGCCCGTGAGCAGCCCCTGCCCCGAGCGCCCCTGCTGCCCGCGAGCAGCCCCTGCCCCGAGCGCCCCTCTGCCCGCGAGCAGCCCCTGCCCTGCGCGCCCCTTCTGCCCGCGAGCAGCTCCTGCCCCAGCGCGCCCCGCAGCCCAGCGCGCCAGCGCGCCCCGCAGCCTAGTGCGCCAGCGCGCCCCGTAGCCCAGCGCGCCCCACTGCTAAGCGTGCCAGCGCGCCCCACAGCCCAGCGCGCCAGCGCGCCCCGCTGCTAAGCGCGCCAGCGCGCCCCGCAGCCCAGCGCGCCCCACTGCAAAGCGCGCCAGCGCGCCCGGCAGCCCTAAGCGCGCCAGCGCGCCCCGCAGCCCAGCGCGCCAGTGCGCCCCGCAGCCCAGCGCGCCAGCGCGCCCCGCTGCTAAGCGCGCCAGCGCGCCCCACAACCCTAAAAGCGCCAGCGCGCCCTGCTGCCCAGTGCGCCGCTGCTGCATGAGCTGCTGCTGCTAAGCGCTGCTGCTACTGCTCGTGCTACTGCTGCTGCTGGTGGAGGTGCTGCTGGTGCTGGAGGTGCTGGAGGTGCGACTGGGAGTGCTGGAGGTGCTGCTGGTGCTGGAGGTGCTGGACCTACTACTGACCGTCACCGCCTGTCATGGCCACTATCACGGCAGTTGCAGCAGCTAGGGGTGGACAGCGGCGGTCACTGCCTCTCCCGGACGACCCCACCCCTCAGCAGCTTCGCGAGTGGGTTCTTCAGCAAGCCCGTCCAGGTGGTGGAGGCTTTGGTTTTCTGCGTCCTGCACAGAGGTGGCAGCAGAGTCAGCAGGAGACCTTCTCCCCGCAGGTGCTTAGTGAGTTGGTTCCTCAGCGATGTGTCACTGGTTCTGTCGAGGCTCCTGCACTAGGTGCTAGTGAGTCTGCTGCTGCACTAGGTGCTAGTGAGTCTGCTGCCCCTCCAGGTGCTAGTGAGTCTGTACAGCTTTAGGTGCTCGTGCGTCTCCCGCCACAGGTCCTGCCTCAGCTGAGGCCTTTCACACTTTCACACTTGACTCAGGCGCGTCACGTTGCCTCTTTCGTGACTGCACCACACTCACACCACTTGCTGCACCGGTACCAGTCTCACTGGCTGACCCCACTGGGGGCCCAGTAGTCGCACGAGCCTCCACTGTCCTCCCGTGTCAAGCAGTCCCCTCCGGTTCTCTGTCAGGTCTCCACCTCCCCATGTTCTCGACGAACTTGGTGAGCAACGCTGCCATTCAGGATGTCTGGGTTGATACCTTTATTCCTGGAGGGCAGCGTGTGGCGAACTGTACGTGCTCCCGGACTGGCCGTCACCTTGCTACGTTCACTCGACGGCCTGGGTCTAGTCTGTACACACTGACCACTGCGTCTGCACAGGTGGCTGAGGCAGGTCAGGTGTCTACGTTTGGTCAGCTTGCAGCGTCTTGCTCATGTCGGGTACTCTCCCACCAGACTCTCCTCTGGCACCACCGTCTCGGTCACCCCTCCCTGCCACGTCTCCGCAGCATGCACTCCCATCTCCTTGTCTCTGGCCTTCCCAGGTCCCTGCCCTCCCTCCCGCACTCGCCTGCCCCGCCGTGCCTTCCCTGCGTCGAGGGGCGGCAGTGCGCCGCTCCTCACTCCTCCGAGTTTCCTCCGACCACTGATCCTCTTCAGACTCTCCACATGGACGTTTGGGGCCCGGCCCCCGTCGGTGGAACGGACCAGGAGCGCTACTTCCTGCTGGTTGTTGACGACTACATACGTTACACCACTGTCTTCCCCTTGCGGCGCAAGGCGAACGCCAGCGGTGTTTTGATCCCCTGGATCCGTGCTACTCGTCGCCAGCTGCGCGAGCGGTTTCGTTGGGACTTCCCAGTCCTGCGTCTGCACTCTGACAGGGGCGGTGAGTTCTCTTCTGACCTCCTTGCGGAGTTCTGTCGAGACGAGGGCATCCGCCAGACGTTCACGCTTCCGGCCTCTCCTCAGCAAAATGGGATTGCTGAGCGTCGCATTGGCTTGATCATGGAGGTTGCTCGTACCTCCATGATCCATGCGGCTGCTCCCCATTTTCTGTGGCCGTTTGCGGTCCGATACGCTGCGCATCAGCTCAACCTCTGGCCCCGTGTCTTTGAGCCAGAGACCTCGCCCACACTCTGGTGGACGTGGAAGGTTGGCGATGCGTCGGTGTTTCGGGTCCGGGGCGCGCTCTCCCTTGTTCGCGATGCCAAAGCGAGCAAGCTCTCCTCTCGCACTCTCCGCTGCGTCTTCCTTGGCTTCCCCACCGACGCCCCGCCGTGGCAGTTCTACCACCCGCGCTCGCGTCGAGTCTTCTCCTCCCAGGACGTCACATTTGACGAGTCTGTCTGTTTCTACAGGCTACACCCGCACGCGTCCCACCCGGTCCCCCTAGCGCCTCTTTTCTTGGTACCAGTCCCCCCCCGGTAGACCCCCTCCCCCCACAGGGTCCTGCTCCCTCAGGTGTGTCTCAGGTAGACCCACCCCCCTTGATTGAGCCTTTGGAGATCTCTTCTGACTCCTTTGGCCCAACTGAGGGGGGTGACCCCGCCGCTGACGACACGGTGGCCACTCGCCGCTCTCCACGCTTATAGACCCCCCCTGGTTTTCCGCCTCGGCCGGCTTCGCCGCCTCCGCAGCCTGCTGCTGTGTACTCTGGAGCTGAGACTGCTGGTGCTGAGCCTAGGGGTGCAGAGACAGAGGGTGAGGGTTCTGGGGGTGCTGCGACTGGGGGTGCTGCGACTGGGGGTGCTGGTTCTGGGGGTGCTGCGAGTCCTAGTGGCGGTGGAGCTGTGGGTGACTCTGCTGGAGGTCCTGGAGCTGGACAGCCACCGCAGCCTGATCTACTTGAGACGAACTCGCCGCAGGCGATTTGTGCGTGGATCGTTCGGCGAGGCAGTCCTGGTGGTGGAGGGTACGGTCCTGCTGGTGATGGAGCTCCAAGTCCTAGAGGTACTGCTGGTACTAGAGGTGCTGCTGCTGCTGGAGGTACTGGAGCTGCTAGTCCTGGAGGTACTGGAGGTGCTGCTGGTGCTGGAGGTGCCGGAGCTACTAGTCCTGGAGGTGCTACACGTGCTGGAGGTGCTGGACCTACTAGTCCTGGAGGTACAGCTCGGGGATACTGCTTCAGCCTTGGCGGGAGCCGTCTCGTGGAGGTCCACTCACTCGTCGTTGGTGGCATGGTCCAGCTATGAGGCAGAGATCTGTGCTGGCACTATGGCTGCTCAGGAGATCCACTGGCTGACATTCTTGCTCACTGACTTAGGTTAGCTGCCTAGCTCTGCCCCTGTCCTGTTCAGTGATAACAGGGCCATGATCATCCTATATCAGGAGCCTCAACTAGAGGGCTAAGCGAAGCATATCCAGCTGCGGTACTTCGTGCTGTGTGAGCTGAAGCAGCACGGCCAGGCATGCGTAGTACACTTGGCTTCATGCGCCAACACCACGGATATCTTCACGTAGGCGATCCCTCCTCATGAACATCAATGGCTCTGCACACAGCTTGACCTTCACCCAGCAGTACCCCACTTGGACCTTAATCTCTGAGCTCTATACTTGGTGTGTTTTTTGTTTGGTTATACTCCCTGACTGGCCTGATTGCCATTTGTCTCATAGGTTGGGCTAGAAGTACCACATTGGGTTTTACCTCATGCACTTTGTTGTTCTTGCTGACTGGCCTTGCAGCCTCTTGTCTTAGAGATAGGACTAGTAGTGCCGTCCTGGGTTGTTTCTCATCTTACAAGCACTACCCCTTACCTAGCCTAGGGGCTGTGTCAATGTACACTTATATATTAGTACGTGTACACTCTTAGGCTAGGTTGAGTTGCAAAATCACCCACATGATACTGGTTTCATTTATGTCACCCCTCTCCACCATATATGACAGTGTTGTGCTAGTTGGTATGAGAGTATGACGTCCGTTCTACCTTGAATTATCTTATTTATATTTTCTATTTCGTTCTATGAACTTATTTCCTATTCCTATTTCGTATTTCACTTATCACATTGAATAAGGTTACGTGCACCAAATTTCACTTTCTTCTACAACTATCTCGCTTTATCTCGTGTGATCTTGCATGTGCGTGATTGTTGGTCGAATTCTCTTAACGATTCAAGAAGCCTCTATTCCCGCTGGAGCCAGAGCATCAGTACCTTCTAGTAACACCCGGGTTACTTGCCTTGTATCGTGCTTATGTGTAGCCACATAGTTGTACCCAAGTCTCGATCCTCACACACCAAGTATCCGGTGAGCGAGGCACGTCAGATGGGGAAGGAGGGAATTGATCGTTGCAATCTCACCTCACCTACCGAGATCCCCTTGTTGCCATCACACTTGTGTTTGACCGCATTGCACCATCGGATACCTAGTGAGAGAGACGCATCCAATGAGCATGGAAAGGAGTGATAGCTACAATGACACCCACACTGCATTAAGGACACTGCCACCATCACATCCCTCTTTACCGCATCACACCTCACCATATCACTAGGTACATGGTGTTATAGGCACGTAGAATGAGCAAGGAGGCAATAACCTACTGCAACCTCACCGTGCTATTTGAGTCGGGGTAGGAGGTAAGATGGTTAGTACAGATGAGAGAGATTGGGGAGGTGAGGAGGTCAGAGGAGAGAGAGAGAGAGATGGGAGGAGGGCAAGAAGTGAGTCGGGTTCTGGTTTTGAGAGTGACGAGATGGGGAGACTTGTAAAATCTTGCATTGAGGTGATTGATTACTGTAATCTTACTGTGCTTCCCAAGCTAGGGCACGGAGTGATAAGATGTGAGGAGGAGCGATGGGAGGAGGTGAGGAGAGTTGAGAAGAGATTTGACTAGTTGTCGTAGGGTGTGCCAGTGCAGTGAGGGTGCAGAGATAACATAGCTGACCGCTGCAACCTCACTGTGCTGTTCGAGCTGGGGCCGGAAGTGAGGAGGAAATGGGGAGGCAAGGACCTAACTGTGGGGAGGAGGGGAGAGAGGTGATGCATACAAGGAGGTGATTGATGGCTGAAATCTCACTGGTTGTTTGAGCCTGGGCTGAAGTTGGAGGGGGGGGCGGGAGGTTGGGGGGGAGTGGGGAGACTAGGAGATGAGTAGGTGAAGTTGGTCGTAACGTCCTAAGATTGGAGAGGTTGGAATCAGACTCCGGTCTACCTGGAAATTTTGCTAGAG